GGTCTCTTAGATTTCTAAAAGAAATTTCCTTTTTCAGCATTAAATGATACATTGTTCTTTTAGCATTAAAATGATATAATCTGGGGCACCTGGGAGGCTCAGTCAATTGAGAGTCTGTCTTCGGCACAGGTCATGATCCCAGGATCCTGGATTGAGCACCGCATGGGGCTCCCTGTTCAGCAGGGATCCTGCTTCTCCCTCTGCCCCTCCCCTTGCCCATGCTTTCTCTCTCTAATAAATAAAGAAAAATCTTAAATAAAATAAAATAAAATTATATAATCTGAGGTAAGTGTATAAGAACATGTCTTTTACTACCTATTTGCTTTTCATATTTCTTAAGTACTAAAAACAACCAAAAGAAACCTCTATACAGAAAAGGATTTTGGAAGAAATGTGTGAGACCCTTAACAGAGAGATAAGGAATAACATAACAGAGATAAAGGGCTCAATAAACGAAATGAGAAACACACTTGACAAAATAAACAGCAGGCTGGAAGAAGCAGAGGAAAGAATTAGTGACCTAGAAGGCAGAGTAATGGAAATTAATCAAGCTGAACAAAAGAAAGAAAAAAGAATTCTGCAAAACAAGAACAGATTTGGGGAACTCAGTGACCCCCATCAAACATAATAACACTTGTTATTTTACTATTAAATGTCACAACTAATGTTTAATCAACGCAATGCTCTGGTTCACCAGTATCTGAATATGACAGGAGAATCTGATTGCTAAAAGGTCGGCAGAATATCCCCCTTTACTAAACTCTAAGTATGTACTGTTGCACCTTGATAAAGTTATGATTTAAGAAAATCAGACCCCGGGGCGCCTGGGTGGCTCAGTGGGTTAAAGCCTCTGCTTTCGGCTCAGGTCATGATCCCAGGGTCCTGGGATCGAGCCCCACATCGGGCTCTCTGCTCAGCAGGGAGCCTGCTTCCCCCCCTCTCTCTGCCTGACTCTCTGCCTACTTGTGATCTCTCTCTGTCAAATAAATAAATAAATAAAATCTTTAAAAAAAAAAAAAAGAAAGAAAGAAAATCAGACCCCTAACACTCTTCTTTCAATGTTACCAGCAAATATCTTAACTTAGAAACTACTATCTTCCAACTCTGTGCCAACTACCACTACAGTACTTCAGGCTTTCAACTCTCACTTAGGCTGACGTAAAAGCTTCTTAAATTGATCTTCCTTTCTCTAGGCTCTCCCCTCCAACTTAGCAATTTATTTATGCTACCTCACTTACTGTTCTAAAACACAAACTTGATCTGGTAACTGTCCCCTACCTCAAAAACCTTGCATGGACCCTCTCCCCCTTCTCAACAGATATATATGTGAATTGCTTACTGGAAAGATTAGATGCTAAATACTGTGAACTGAACATACGAATGACACAGAGACAAAAGACTGCAACCCATTGTTATAAAGTTTATCATGGCATTCAAAGCCCTGTTATAATCCTAACCCAATATACTTGCAGCATGAGCTCTAGGCAAAATGCAAACTTATTCTCATGGATTTAGGTTCAAATAGATTTAAATGACTGTTTTATGAAAGGCCTTTATATTTAAATACTAGTGCAAAACCATGCACATTTTAAATATAAGTTATTTAAAATTGATCACCTTCAGAGTTAAAAATTAGAAGTCATTAATATATTTACTTACGAAGGAAAATTTTTTTCCTCAAACTTTCTATAATCTCAAGGCTTACTGAATTTGCATACCTGTGTACATTTTATTTTATATTGATGCAACATCTGTTTTAAGAGTAAGAGTTCTTAGCATATGTTCATTAAAAAAACCTTTGAGCCTATGGAATAAATGCTGATTTTATTTTTTTAGATAAAAGCAGTATGGAAACAAGTGAGACTAAGGTCAATTTAGAGGTTCTAAGACCACCATAAACAAGCCCTGATTAATCAAACCCTGATTATCAGGGCACCAGACTTACTATTCCAGCCTATTGGTCATCTGACTTTTTACTTATCCTTACAACAGTGGCTTACACCTTTACGACAGAAAACAAACAAACAAACAAACAAACAAACAGGTAACTCAAACCGGTTAAGTTTTACCTCCTATTGCAGCTAGTGGGGTGGGGAAGGGGTTGGAAGATTATTTATAAAATACTACATAATTAAATTGAGTTTTTCCTGTTCTGTATTACCATACATCATAGGTGATTGTACATATTTTGTACATAAAAAGAAAATACATGAATATACTGGGGAAATAATACATGCTAACAGAAATATAGTAGATTGGCAATAAATCATCACTCTCATCCACTCTTCCCTATCAGCCTCCTGTCAAATAAACAATGATCCTTTTAAATGCTAATAAATTCCTCTGGGTGTCATAAATTTCAGAACTCTTCAAATGAACTACCTGTCTGGTTGAGGAAGATCCAAAAAGAGCACTATATTATCTGCAGATAAAATCTAAAAATGTCTCTAAGAAACTGTATCAAGCGTGAGCAATAGAAAGTATCTTTGGAAAAAAAGGTAGAATTAAGATACTCAAACAAAAATTTCAAAAAAACCCTAAGACTTCAAAACCTCAAAAGAAAACCTAAGAATATTAAACATTTTATAAGCATAATACGGATAGATGTACCTTTCACAACCTTTAGGACATTATTTACCTAAGTAAATTAACTTGGCTACAGAGTAGGTCTGCTGTTAAAAACGTTTTTCTACCTATATAACTGGAAATCATTTGTTGGAGCCTACCCAGAATCAAGCTCCATTTTCCCTTTTCCAACAACGCTTAGGGTATCTGAGAAGTAGGTGAACACAGGCGAATGGTGATGCACTAAGAGAATTAGGAAAGACTACGTTAAAGGTTTTCTGTGTCATCCTAAGGACTTCTCACTTTATCGGAACAGTGATACATCACTGAAAGATTTCAAAGATAGAAATCACAGGACTGTACTTCTGAATGACAAAGACCCTGGTGACAGTGTTGAAGATGGGGGTAAGGTGAGAATGGAGGCAGAGCCCATCAATTAGGAGATAATTATGAGTTCTTAATTAAAAGATGTACCTTTGGAAGGCAACTTAGCAAGTCACTTGAAATAGATATATCCAGCAATTTCGTTTCTAGATATGAACCCAGAGAAACAATCTTACACACTAATGTACAAAGACATTGCTCTAGAATGTTCATTGTGCTGTTGTTTGTAACAGCAAAAAAGAAACTTCAATGACCATCAACAGAGGAATGAACACAGTTAAAAATGAATCAGATCGGGGCGCCTGGGTGGCTCAGTGGGTTAAACCTCTGCCTTCAGCTCAGGTCATGATCTCAGGGTCCTGGGATCGAGCCCCACATCAGGCTCTTCGCTCGGGAGGGAGCCTGCTTCCCCCTCCCTCTCTCTCTGCCTGCCTTTCTGCCTACTTGTGATCTCTGTGTGTCAAATAAATAAATAAAAATCTTAAAAAAAATGAATCAGATTTATGTATATACCACCATGGCTTAATTTCAAAAATCAAATGAAAAAAAACTGGGTTGCAGAAAAATGTATTCTGTGGTACATTATGTATCTAAATCAAAAAACATAAAACGACATTACATATTTTCTGTTTACCTACAAAGGCTACATTCCCTGAGTGCTTCTCTGCCAGGTACTATTCTAAGCACTTTGGACTCATTTATTTCTCACTACATTCTTATGCTATAGGCAATGTTATCCCATTCTACAGATGGGGAAATTGAGGCATGGAGTTTAAGAATCTTCTCAAAGGCCTAAAAATAGGAAGTGACAGAGCCAGGATTCAAACCCAGGCAAACTTGTCCAAAATTTAAAGAGCAAGGATTCTGTAAAGATTCATGTCAAATTCCAATGACTATTTATTCTGGAGAAGGGGAGAGATATCAGGTAGGGGAGTGGAGCCAGAAGGAGACTTCCGCTAGAGCTGCAATGTTGTTTTTTAACAATGTATTCAATTATTTTTAAACAATATGTCAATTTTCCCCCATCAAAATCTGTAGCATATTAAAAAAAAGTCTCGGCCAAAGATGCTAAAGTGTCAATCACGGTTGACTGTAGATGGTGAAAATATGGGGATTTTTCTTCCTGCAATTTCTCTGTAGTTTTCATTATCTTCCCGTTTTTTTTTAAAGCCTGTATTGAATCGTTTGAATGCAAAATGACTTCCTTTCACTACTTTAGCCAACAACTACAAAATTGTTCCAGTGCCTTATAAACCTACATCTTTCTGAAGTTTGGCACTTAATGTCATTTTGCACTGGATAACTGTCAGAGGGGCCCCCCTGTGCGTTGCAGGCTATTTAGCGATACCTACTAGTTGCCAGTATTAGGCCCCATCCCGGTAGTGCCAACCAAAACCACCTCCAGACACTGCCAAATGTCCCCTGCGAGACAAAATTGCCCCAAGTTAAGAACTACCCCAGTTCATAAACTTTTAAGATGCTTTGCACCTTTTAAGTTTATATAACTGCTTTAGTTTAAGGATTTCAAAAACATGATCCTTGTTAAGTTTCTCACACTCCAAGTGGGAAAGATGCGGCGAGGGTGAAGAAAGGTTCAAGCGAAATAATCCTATACAGCAAGGACATGATGAACATAGGCCGCGGCACACTCGTCTCCATCCCCTTATTCCGCAAAGACGGGAACCAACCCAGCTCTGCCGCCCAGCCCCGCGAAGGCCAGGTAGGGGTAAGGGACGACTGGCCAGCCCTACCTCACTGCGCCAGGCCCTGCGTCTCAGAGCCGCCACTTTTCCGACTCCCTACGCGGGCGCGGAACCCCTCCGCTCCAAACCTCCCGCCCGCGCGCTGCATCCTGGGAGATCCGGGCTGGAGGCTGCGTCGAAAGCGGGGGAGGCGGAGCCTGCCGAACCTTCCCGGAGACGGTTGCCAAGGGAGGCTGAGGGGGCGGGGCCTCCAGGGAATGTTGTGAAAGCGAAGGGCAGGCGGAGCTTGTTCGGGCGGTGCTCCGCGCGGGAAGCTCCCGTGATCCGGCGGTAGGCGGAGGCGGGCCCGCAGTGCAGGGGACGTCGGGGGAGCGGAGCCCAAAGGAGAAGCTAATGGAAAGCCAGGCTGGGGCCTGGTTCCGCCTCCAGACCCAGGCGGCCACAGTGGATTGGACAACGCAGCGACGCTTCCGCCCGCCTCCCGGTGTCACGCGACCGTCTCCACCTCCCGCCCTTCCCTCTTTACCTCCCGGCCAGCCTGGCCAGTGATGAGATATTCGGACAGGTGGAGAAGTGGCCACGGCGATCGAAATCACGTCCACGACCGCGACCATGGCCGAGGTGAGGAGGCACCCACGCCGCTGCCGGCCCTCCCGGCCCTCCCGGCAGACCCGGAAGCTTCCTCTGAAGCCCGGGGGCTCTGCGCCCAGGTGTAGGTGGGTTGGGCTGAAGGGAAGCGGGGTGGTGCGCGTGGTGTCTAAGCGTCCCTTCGTGTCTCCCTTTCAGTATCACGCCCAGAATAAAGCCAAGCTCATCTCTGAGACCCGACGGAGATTCGAAGCCGAATACGTGACAGGTGGGTACCGCGTTCTCGCTGTTGAGGCAGGTGTGCATGAGCGTCCCCAACTTTCCAAAGGTGTTTGCAGGTGTCTTTGGGAGGCTTTAGGGACCGTTTCGACCCTCACAGTAATGATGCCCTGCACGTTTCTAAGGTTTTCTTTAACATAACACGCCATGCATACTGCTCCCAACTGGTCAGGTGATACGCCCGTTGCTTCCTAAAGGGTTAATATAAGTTGGAAATTGGTCAGTTTCTAGCATCTCGAGTTCGTGGAACTTGAAGGACACTTTCAAGGCCCATGGTACAGGTGACACTGCCCAGTGCACGGTTTTCTGCTGACCTTTCACCAGCAACAATAGAGAAAAAGAATCTGGAAACCGCCATAATGCTATTCACGTGTACTTAATTGGGGATACAAATTCCTTGGATATTTTACATAATTCCACTTCATACAACCCAGTATGCTACCCACGGAGTAGGCTTTCCAGGGCTGGAACAAATTCTCTTTCATCCCACACTGTACCTAGACAAAGTACCTGTGAGTCCAGAATTGATTTATTGGTTGAACATTATGTGTTCATATGGTTGAACAGATGTCCCAGATACTTGAAACTGATGATTTAATCCTTGTACAGTAGTTTTTTAAAACCTGCAGGATGATTTTATCATAAATATGAAATATTGAATCCTGGCCCTGCCACTTAATAGCTTAGTTGTCTTTTCTAAGCCCTGTTTCCTTATCTGTGAAATATGAATAATTAGGTTAAGAGGATTAACTGAAAAAACACAGATCAAACTTTCTAGCATGGGGTTAACCTATTGTAGGCTTTCAGTGAATATTTTGTCCCAAGTTGATTTGGTTGCTGTGGAAGGGTTTAAGCTTCTGCATCTTGAATTCAGTACCCTGTAGAGATTCTCTGCAACTTTAAACTGCCCTAGATTAAATGTCAATGATGACCTAGAACAAGTAAGGAAATGTGTTCCAAATAACCTGGTCAGAAAATCTGTTCATCCTCCCTGTCAATTTTCTTCCCATCCCAAACTTTGCACCAGAGAGTTGCAAAAGCACTTGATTTCACATTTAGCCCAGAGATCCCATTTAAATAATATAGGTGGTTCCAGTAAAAAGGTAATTCTGAGATTGCTTTCTATAGAAATGTTCTTATAGGTACATGGTTTATAGTATTTTAAGAACCCAGAACCTGACCTAAGGGGCTAGTGTCTTCCCATTAGTTGAGTACTCATGCCCAATGGAGGAAGCAGGATATATGTATACGTGTATGTGTGTGTGTGTGTGTGTGTGTGTGTGTGTGTGTAGTTATACAAGTTTAGCAATAGAAAAGATCTTAAGAGTTATCTTGGTCCAGCCTTCTCCTCTTTAAAATGAAGAAAGTAAGATCTAGAGAGATTAAGTGATTCACTCCGAATCCTTGGTGTTAATGGCTAGGCCTTGGGCTAGTTTTCTGAATTTCACTATAGTGAAAATCTTTTGGGACACCATCATGTTGCCTTAGATCATGTCACTCCCCAACTTAAAACTCTTCAATACGTTCCCACTGTGTCTAGAATAAAAATCTCAATTCTTAAAATTTTTTTTAAGGATTTTATTTATTTATTTGACAAAGATCACAAGTAGGCAGAGAGGCAGGCAGAGAGAGAGGAGGAGGAAGCAGGCTCCCTGCCTAGCAGAGAGCCCGATGCGGGACTTGATCGCAGGACTCTGAGATCATGACCTGGGTAGAAGGCAGAGGCTTAACCCAGTGAGCCACCCAGGCGCCCAAAAATCTCAATTCTTTATGGTGGCCTACAGTGCAGGGCCATATATGCTGAAGCTCATGCCCACCCTTACATCCTAATTTGTAACCACTCTCTTCACTTAGTACAGATTTCACCACTGCCCACAGTAAGAAACATATCACACATTGCAACACATAGCAATCCCTCACACACTTACACATGCACACATAACTGGAACAAAAGTTCCTTAAAGAATATTTATTCAGAAAACCCATGACCCCTGTTGCAGTGACCCACAAAGTTGACATCACATCCTACATGACCCAGGGTTTGAAAAACATGACCAGCCACACTGCTTCTTTTATGTTCTTCAAACAGACTGAATCTGTTTTTATCTTGGGACCTTTCCACTTCTCTTTGTTTGGGAGGCTCTTGCCCAGATAATGTTCATGGCTAGGTCCTTTTTTTCTTTTCCATCTTGGTTTAAATGGATCTCAGAGGCCTTTGCTGATTACTGAATAGCCTCCCTGTCTTGTTTGTTTTGTCCCCTTTACAGCTCTTACCATAACCGGTAATTATCGTGTTCATTTGTTTACTTATTGTTCATTTCCTCCAGTAAAATGTATATGGGTCTGGGGCAGCCATGGCAAGGACTGACTCACTTCTGTATACTTAGCACAGTTTTCAATATATACTTAATATAGCAATGCTTAAATATATACATAGGAAGATTAATCTGAGTCTGCTTTATGAGTTGTCCTAATTGGTTCCCCATCCCATCTCCCCACCCTCCACAAAGTCTGGCAAAGAGCAGCCCTCGCAATATGTTTCATAAAGACAAGCATTATTTCCAAGTAGAGCACTCTGTGGCATTAGTATAGAGAGGGTTTTGTCGTTAAATATACACACTTGGGTTCGTGTGAATGGGTTACCTGCACAGCTGTTGTACATACTAATTTAATTAATTTAAAGACTTGAATGGGAAAGGAAAAACCTGCGAAGACTTTTCTACCTTGTTTCCTGAGATACTGCATCAGGTAAAGTAGGAAAGTGGTAAAAAGGGATTTTTGGTCTGCCTGTATTCACCCTTTCAAGTTTATTTTTTAGATATTGACTCAAGTGCTTAGAGAACCTGCACTTTCCTAATTCCTCTTTCATTTCACCTGTTCTGTTATCACTAACAATATTTTGTTTCAAAAGACGCTTAAGGCTGACTTAAGCAAACAAACATGACGTTTTTCCTAAAAGAAAATATGATCTGCAAATACATCACTTTAAGCATTGGCTATACTCCAGAAACTCTTTTGGAGATAGGTTTTTGGGAATTCCAAGCACAATTTTGTTCCCATAGGAATTAAGTTGCCAATTATGGATAGATTTGTAGCTGTCAGAAAGAATAAAAGTTCATAATTGTTTTATGCATTACAAGTGGTCCTTTTTTCCTCACTGTTTCTGTGAGAAATTCCATGCTGAGTCTCAAATGAGAAACATTTCCCGTTCTCTCTTCCTCCTTCTGGTGGCCAAGGCAAAAGACTACTCCCTTGTGACAGTAATTTATTTGGTTCCTCAAATACTCATTATGTGCTTAATTCTGAGAAGCAGTGTGTCCTTATTAGAGAAAGAACTGAAGAAGGATAGAGCCACTTCCTGAACTACTACATTCTAGTAGAGGCATTAAGACAGAGCTAACTATTAGAATTCAGGCAAATTGTATCAAGAGGAATAAGTGCTAAAATCATTTTTGTAGAAGTCAAAGACAAGGAAAAAAAATCACATGTGGTTGGGGTGATTGGGTTAGCATCAAGTGAGAAAACAGAAAAGGTGGAACTTTGGAAAATGGTAGAACTTGGGCAGGTAGAGGATGTGATCCAGATGGATCAAATAGTCTGAGCTAAGGCGCTGTAGTGAGAATGTACAGGGCATGTTCAGGAAGCCATGGGAAGTCCGCTTTGATGAGCTCTAAGAGGAGGGTAAGCACACCTGCTGAAAACAGTGGGAATGCAGTGTAGAAAGCTTTGAACAAAAACGATGTTTGTACTTTAGTGAGTTTGGAGAGCAGTTGAGGGATTGGTGTGTTTTCTTATTTTAGGTTTGTTTCTTGACTTTACAAGTATATGAATTCATTTGAATAAATTTGGATGATACCAGAAAAGCCGGAAAAGTCCCCCATAAGCTAACCATCCAGAGATAGCTCTGCTAACAATGGAGGCATTTTTTTTTTCCATTTGGTTTTTGGTTTTATTCTTAATGGGCTCCACACCCAGCATTCAGCCCAGCAGGGGGCTTGAACTCACGATCTTGTGACTGAGACCTGAGCTGACATCCAGCTGGGACACTTAACTAACTGAGCCCCCAGGTGCCCTCTATATGGTTTTTTTTTCCCTGTATGTTAAAAAGTACTTAAAAGACTATCGTGTATGTAATTTGAGGGCTTGCATTTTATACTTGACACGATCCAGTTTATTTTCCCTAGATTGATGAAGTAAATAGTGTTTTTCATTACTGTTTAATACTCAGCTCTGTAAAAAGAGAATTTTCTTTTACATACTTCCTATTTGGATATTTATATTCCTTCCAGTTTTTTGTTAATACAGTTTTTTGTGCAGTAGTTCAGATTGTTTCCTTAAGATTCATGTCTAGAACCAGAATTACTGGTTTCAAGAGTGTGAATATTTTTAAGACACTTCATGTATGTGCTACCTTTTCCTCCCCAGAAGTTGCACCAAGCTTCATTCCCACCAGCACATGTGATAATGTTAGTCTCACCACAGCTTTACCCATGTGTGGCGTCCTTACTCCTTAATTGATGGTTCTTTGTTTTAGTTTGCATCCTGGTTGCTAATGAGAGTAAATTTCTTTTCAGATACTTACATCAGTTTGTAGTTCACATTTTTTTTTCATTACTATGGCTTTTAAAATTGGTTTGGGCTTTTCTTATTTATGTCACTTTCACTTTTTTCATTTCTAAAATTTTTTTTTATTGTGTGATGTTAGTCACTGTAAAATACATCATTAGTTTTCAATGCAGTGTTCCAAGATTCATTGTTTATGTACAACACCCAGTGCTCCATACAATCTGTACCCTCCCTAATATCCATCACCGGGCTCACCCATCACCCCACTCACCTCCCCTCTAAAACCCTCAGTTTGTTTCTCAGAGTCCACAGTCTGTCATGCTTTGTCTCCCCCTCCAATTTCCCCCAATTCACTTTTCCTTTCCTTCTCCTAAAGTCCATGTTATTCCTTATGTTCCACAAGTAAGTCAAACCATATGATCA